CGGAGCGACTACGGAGACGGCCACTCCAGGGAGACTGCTCACCAGACGCCTCAGTACCCCCAGGCGCAGCACCCCCAGACTCAGTACTGCCAAGCTCAGCACCCCCAGACCCCTCACACGCAGGCTCAGCACCTCCAGGCTCCACACCCTCAAGCTCCGCACCCCCAGGCTCAGCACCCCCAGGCTCAGCACCCCCAAGAGTAGCACCCCGAGTAGGACCACCCTCAGCAGGACCTGAGTCACCAGTGACCTCAACCGGCGCAGACAAGGGAGGAGGGTCTACCTGAGACACACCTGAAGGAGCAGGACCTGGAGCGGGGAGGGGGTCTACCTGGGGAGCACCTGGAGCGAGGAAGAGCGGCGGGGGGGGGGAGCGGGACAGCGCGGTAGAGGAAGAGACGGTAAAAGGGAACCGACTCGTCGAACGTGACGTCCTGAGACGCAAAGACACGGCGCGAGGTGGGGTGGTAAAACTGCCAACCAGGCGCGTCAGGGACAAAGCCAAGGAAGACACAGGGAACAGCGCGGGCGGAGAGCTTGTCCGCAGTGGTATCGCGGACAAAGGCACGAGCACCCCAGACCCGGAAACGCGACGCATCGCCAACCTTCCCCGTCCACATCAGTGTGGGCGAGGTCTCCGGCAAGGAGACACGGGGCCAAAGGTTGAGCTGATGCGCGGCGTACCGGACCGCAAACGGCCACAGAAAATGGGGGGCAGCCGCATGGATCATGGAGGTACGAGCGACCTCCATGACTAAGCCAATGCGGCGCTCAGCAACCCCATTCTGCTGCGGAGAGGCCGGAAGCGTGAACGACTGGCGGATGCCGTGCTCCGCACAGTAGGCTGCCAAGAGGTCGGAGGTGAACTCACCACCTCTGTCGGAGTGCAGACGCAGGACAGGAAAGTCCCGCTGGAACCGGTCGCGGAGCTGGAGACGAGCAGCGCGGATCCAAGGGATCAAAACAGCAGGGACGTCCCCCTTGCTCTGCAAGGGGAAGACCGTGGTGTAGCGCGTGTAGTCGTCGACAACCAGCAGGAAGTACCGCTCGTGGCCCTGTCCACGGACGCGGGCTGGGCCCCACACGTCTAGGTGGAGAGTCTGCAGGGGAGCCTCTGTGGGAGGGAACGAGGAGGAGTGAGGAGCGGCGCGCTGCCGCCCCTCGACGCAAGGAATGCAGGGCGGCGCAGGCGAGGGAGGGAGAGCAGGCAGAGACCTGGGAAGACCAGAAACCAGGGAACGAGAGTGCATGCCACGAAGGCGAGGCAGGGAGGGGTGACCAAGGCGGTGGTGCCACAGGAGAGTGTCGTGCGACAAAGCGCGACACTCGCAGGGGGCTGCCAGCTGACCAGACGTAGACGCAGACGCAGCTACCTGAGGGGACTCAGTGGTCAGTGTGTACAGACTCGAGCCAGGTGCACGGGTGAACGTGGCCAAGTGTCGGCCCGTCCGAGCACACGTACAGTGAGTCACTCGCTGACTCGCAGGAGTGAACTGGTCAACCCCCCCATCTCGGAGGTCAGCTCCACTCACCAAGTTCGTAGAGAACGAGGGGAGGTAAAGACCTGACAGGAAGCCAGACGGGACGGCCGGACACGGCAGAACCGTGGAGTAGTGGGCAAGGACTGGACCCCCAGAGGGGTCCGCCAGGGAGACCGGGACTGGCCGACTGAGCGGCGTGAGTGTGGTGCAGTCGCGAAAGAAAGAGCGGGAAGCTCCTGAGTCAAGGGTGAAGGTGTGCAAGACCGCAGCAGGCGCAGTACCAGAGAGAGCAGACTCACCAGCACCTAGAGCAGGAGATGCACTAGCACCTAGAGCAGCAGCCGCACCAGCACCTAGAGCAGGAGACGCAGGAGCACCTAGAGCAGCAGCCTCACCAGTACCGGGAGCAGCAGGCTCTATACCAGGGTCAGGCGGTACGCACAGGTAACAGGCACGGTCAACACTAGTAGACAATGCATACATGGCAGTGAGAATAGCATCATAGTCAAGAGCAAAGATATCTACCCTCTGTCCAAGCAGCTCCACCCAGGTGGGGAGCTCAGCCTCGTCGCCAAACTCGGTACGCCAGGCGTCGCTCAGACGGGCGAAGCAGCGGGACTCTGTGTGACCAAGCGTCCCGCAAGGCTGACCAGTCCGATCACCTGTGCGAATGACGTACGGGCAACGAACTGTACGCGTAGACCTGCTACTCTGAACGTACCACTCCTGGAGCTGCCGGGACGTAAGTGTCTCGCGTGGGCGCCGCTGCAGCTGCAGCTGGCCACTGCCAGACGCCCCCAACTGACCAGCTCCAGGGCGACAGCTACGACGGCTACCGCGACAGCCCCAACTAGTATACCACTCACTAAGCTGCTGGGGCGTGAGAGACTCGCGTGAACGTCGCTGGAGCTGCATCTGGCCACGTGCCAGTAGCAGTAGTAGCAGCAGTAGCGCGGGCAGGGCAGGCGCGGCAGGCAGGCAGGCAAGCAGGCAGGCAGGCAGGCCGACAGGCAGGCAGGCAGGCAGGCAGACAGGCCGGCAGGCAGGCAGGCAGACAGGCCGGCAGGCAGACAGGCAGGCAGGCAAGCAGGCAGGCAGGCCGGCAGGCAGGCAGGCAGGCGCGCAGGCAGGCAGGCAGGCAGGCAGACAGGCAGGCCGGCAGGCAGGCAGGCAGGCAGGCAGGCAGACAGGCAGGCCTGCAGGCAGGCAGGCAGGCGCTCACCAAAGGCTGGAAGAGCAGGCGCTCGCCGGGCGAGCAGGGTCGGCGCTCGACGGGCGGCGACCGAGTAGGCGCACGACAGCGGCGACGTCGGGGCCGCAACACCGGCTGCAGAGTAGGGCCGCGGCAGCTGCAGGGCGGGACCGCTTCAGCGGCAGTCGCAGGGTGGGGCCGCGTCAGCGGCAGGTCGGGGTCGCGGCAGCTGTAGGGCGGGGCCGCATCAGCGGCAGGTCGGGGCCGAGGCAGAGGGCCGCGCGCGGCTCGGCGCGGGCTGCGCTGACAGCGCGCTGGGCTGCTGCAGGCCGCGCGCGGCCGCGCTAGGCAGTAGCGGGCCGCGCGCGGCTCGGCGCGGGCTGCTGCGGGCCGCGCGCGGGCCGCGCGAGGCAGTAGCAGGCCGCGCGCGGCTCGGCGCGGGCTGCTGCGGGCCGCGCGCGGGCCTCGCGAGGCCGTAGCAGGCCGCGCGCGGCTCGACGCGGGCTGCGTGGGCTCGGCGCGGGCTGCGCGCGGCAGCAGCGGGCTGCGCGCGGCAGCAGCGGGCTGCGCGCGGCTCGGTTCGGGCTACGCGCGGCTGCAGCGGGCTGCGCGCGGCTCGGTGCGGGCTGCGCGCGGCTGCAGCGGGCTGCGCGCGGCTCGGCGCGGGCTGCGCTCGGCTCGGTGCGGGCAGCGTGCGGCAGCAAGGGGCCTAATGGTCTGCACGGGCTGTTCGCGGGCCTGAAGGGCGTGTAGGGGCGGCGCGCGGGCCTTACGGGCCTCTAGGGGCAGCGCGCTGGCCTAGGGCAGCAGGAGGCAGCGCTAGGGCTGCTGGACGGCGCGCGTAGTGCAGCACGTCACAAGGCAAGGCAAGGCAGGCAGGTACTGTCAAGATAGTAGCTAGAGGTGAGGAGCCATGCTAGGGTGAAGAGGAGAAAGTGTCGAGAGAGTTTAGGCAAGGAAAGAGGGGTTTCACTATAGAGTTTGGAGTACAAATAGGAGGAAAAGGGGTAAACCACCAAACAGAATGCAATAACTACACTACTGCTAGATCTACATGCAGTTACAATAATATAATTCTGACAGGTACGTGGGGTAGCGTGTTAACCGCAGCGGTAGGTGGGCCCGAAAAAAAACAAAAACGGTCCTACGGACTTTAGTGCTCTGAAACCATGTTAGAATCTAGCAGCAGGAATGGATGAACTAGCAGGAAGATGGGTACAAGTAGGAAACCCTAATTTGGGTTGTACCCCATATGGGCTACCCCACTACAGCCTACACAATAAGCAGCATATATGTTTGTGTCAAGATAGTAGCTAGAGGTGAGGAGCCATGCTAGGGTGAAGAGGAGAAAGTGTCGAGAGAGTTTAGGCAAGGAAAGAGAGGTTTCACTATAGAGTTTGGAGTACAAATAGGAGGAAAAGGGGTAAACCACCAAACAGAATGCAATAACTACACTACTGCTAGATCTACATGCAGTTACAATAATATAATTCTGACAGTTTGACAGGCGGGAACCTCGGGAACACGAGGTTGAGTGCAGGTTGGGCAAAGGAAAGCCGAAGGCGACGCGAGGTTGCTTCGGCAGCAAGCAAAGCGGCCGAACGTGCACTTCCGAAAGTTGGGGTTTGAGTAAACCCCAGTAAGGAATGACTAGCAGGATGACGCACAGTAAAACAATTTCCTTTTCAGTGTTTTTAACCATAGAATTGCCTGGTTACATCAGGAGCAGGTTTTGAAAGAACGTGTGAGTTCTAGCAGTACAGTACACCATTCCCGCTTGGTGCGTCAATACCAGTCAAGATTGTCGCACTGGTTGGAGTGCCTGCTTGCTACTGCAATATCAAAGCCACATTATTTAGACAGTCACCTACCGTAACAAAATTGGAAACATGGTCTAAAACGTCAGCACTTTCAGCAGGCAGCAGAACATAACAAATGTAACTTACTAAACTACAGCACCAAAGCACATACATAATCACATTCACTCCATGCAAAAACACCTCGAGCTTGCTTGCAGTGCTCCCCCTGCGCCTGCTTGCTTACAGCCACAGATTCCCAGCTCTCTTCCATCTCTAATAGGCACTGAACCTCCAGAGTGAAGCCTCTAGTGACTGAAACAGCCTCTGAAGCACCGCTTGCTCTAGTCACATCCGTAATGACCGCTTGCTCCGGCAAAGCCCAGGCACTGAACACTACCACCACACACCTTACTGAAACTCCAAGCATCCCATCACTCAAGCCTTCAGCCCGCTCCAACCATCTCCCCCCCAACTTGCCCCTCTCCCCGACTCCCCTTCCTTCCCCGGTCCCCACGCCTCGCGCGCGCGCTACTCCTCGGGCGGGGGCTGGTCGGGGTCCTTGTCAGGGTCGATCTCGGGGTCCTTGCGCTCCTCGTCCTCCTCCTCCTCGTACGGCGGGTCCGCTGGAGGCGGCTGCGGAAGCGGCGGCTTCAGCGGGGAGAACTGCGGGAAGATGTCCGGTCTCCGCCCCGGCGCAGGTCGCTCCCATTCCTTCCACGCGTGCAGGTGATAAGCACAGGGGGATAGGGGGGGTGAGTGGTGGGGGACAACGGGGAAGTACGGCAGGGGTGAGGTAGTGGAGGATAAACGGAGGAGAGGAGGCATAGCCATCAATTACACACGGAAAAATGAAAAAGTAACGGGAGGGAAGTAAGTGGATTCTGTGAGCGACAGCGAGTAGGCAACTTGCCGTGCAGGAGGCATAACCCTGTGACTTAATACTGTGAGTGGCGTCACAGGGGGCAATGCAGGCAACTGGAGTGGGTAATGCTCGCTGGGACGGCTGGCACGTTGCGAATAGAAAATTATGCTCAGTTGTTTCGCAAGTACAGCACGCAACTAGGCAATTATTAGCCGCTACGACACAAGTCGTTGGCAGCACCAACATGGTCAGTGCTGCTCGCTGGCAAGATTGCCAAAACTGTTAAGGAAAGAGCTGAATCAAAAACTTTTTGCTAACAAACTTACCTTGTCTAGTCTAATAGAGTTTAAAGAGTGGTATACGATCGAAGGACCAGCTAATTCTGGCGAAGTCTAAGCCCGTCGGACGAGAATCAGAACCGCGTCCCAGTGTACCGGGCATCTCCTATGTATGGCCTCCATTTGCATGTCCTAGTTACATCTCATTAAATTAAGTGCAAGAAAAAATTACCACTCAACCGGATCGAGGAAACGAAGAGGGTGCGAGGTTGAGGAGGTGGAAGGGACGGCGGGGAAAAGAGGAGAGACGGCGGAGAACAAAAAGAGAGGGTAAAACAGGGTATGAAAGGAATAAAGAGCGAAACGAGACCAGAGAAAGAGAGAAGAGTAAGGAGGAATGGCCTACCACAGGAAAGTCGAGCGGTGAGCGCTTGGTCATCTTCTCTTCATCGGGCGCCATCCTTGTTACCATGCGCTTCGCTCCCGTTTGTCTCCTCCCCACCGACACCCGTGAGCATCCCAGGAACGACGAGTCGGTGCAGCTGCCGCCAACTTGCACGCGCGCACACGACGCGACGACTCCATGCGACGACTGGGACTGGTGCTGCGAGGAAGGGACGACGCTCGCGTGGAGAGCATGCGACGACGACATGGCGACGCAACGCACAGCCGCTGACGCGGCCATTGAACCTGATCAGGACCGCAAAGAAGCTTTTACGAAGAGCCCCGAACCAAAGGGATCGACCTTCACAGGGGTCGCTGAACTACTAGAGGCTAAATCAGGAAAGACGAGGCTTGGAAGATCAATACTGGCAGGTTCTGACGAGCTTTAGATTAGCAGATGAGGGGTCTTGGGTTTGGTTGAGGATGGATGGCCCCGCGGAACGTGAAGGGGGCTCTGCTGACGTGTCGACGCGAACGTGGCAAGAATGGTAATACGAAAGTGGAGGTGAAATCCGCATCTGGAGGTTTCGATGTCTGGTTTTGATGACGTGGCAATACGGAGAAAGCAATGAACTCCCAGTGCCTGCACAATCCGTTTATTGTATAGCGAAACAATAAGGTGGATTACTTACCGCGTTTTCGTTAACGCGTAAGATCAATAAATAGCATGAGCCCTCACAATAAGCACTTGCTTTCTTGTGCTAATGGGCTAACCAGAATGCAAAATGGGGAAACTCTATACTAGGGCGAGACATGCTTGTTTGGCTGCGAGGCAGCTATGCAAGACTCGCACATGTGCTATGCAGCAGCAGAGCAAGATTCTGTCATTTATTTTACATAAAACCAGCATTAACCATGCCCAATCTCCACCCACCACATCATACCTGTATCTGTACCCTAGCTTCCTGCCAATTTAGTGCTACATGCTAAATCAATAAAGGAGAGAATAAAGGAGATTGATAGAATAATGGTCCCAATTCAGAATACATAACGCATGTACAGAGAATTTGCATTGACAGAGACCATACAAACCACATCATGGTTCAACTCAAGCAGTGGTCCCAGCCAAGCCCCAGCTTTAAGTCGTCATGGCTCTCTGCTCCACTGCTTGGCACGACTCGCTCAGCTTCCCGCAGTTGATAAGAAAAGCATCCTCAGGGAGGGCAAGCAGCGCGCCCAGGCTGAGAGACAGACCCCTCTCGGCTGCCATGCAAAACCTAGGTTGGATGCGGCCGTCGAGGCTGAACGAGAAGAACTGCGGGAATGAGAGGATCTCCTTGACAGAACGACGCATGGTCCCTGTGAGAAACTGCAGCTTGGGAGCCAGGTTGCTCTGGATGCTGTAGTTGAATATGGCAGGGCAGCGCGCCAGCACCCGCTTCGCCTCGTCCGCCGTGAGCCCTTGCTCCTGCAGGAAGCTCAGTCTGGGCAGCAGCTTCTGCTGGGGGTCCACGCTCAGCAGCGACGGGTTGTTGACGACAGTTTTCGCGAGATTCTCGACTCCCATGGCGCGCAGGAAGTTGACGGCCGGCAGGAGCACCGTGTCGATCGGCTGAACCAGCAGCGCAGGGCAGCGAGAGATTACCTTTTTAACATGCGCTCTGTCCAGGCCGAGGTCGCGGCGCAGTAGATGCACCACGGGGAGTAGCCGCTCCTCGACATCCAGAGTCAGAATTTGTGGGCAGCGGTGCACGACGCGTTCGATGTCGCGCGGCGTGCACATGCCGACGTCGACGCGCAGGAAGTGGAGAGCTGCTCGCATGACAGGCAGCGTCGTGTCCATGAGAGCTGGGCACTTCACGATGGCTGCTACCATGTCCACTCCCAGTTCCTCCAGAAACACTGCCCTCTCCCTCACGCCCTCGGGAGTTGACCGCCTTGACTCCCTAGAAACCCGTGAATCCCGCGAATCTCTTGAGTCTCGTGAGTCGGGTGAGTCCCCCGATTCCGGCTCTTGCGACCCGCCTAGGTGCTGCAGGTACAGCTGCCACGCCATGGCCTCGCTCGACTGCGACAGCAGCGCTAGTGGCAGCATCGGCGGCGTGCCGGCGGAAGAACCGCGCGCAAGGCTTTGCACACCCCTTAAAGGCTTCTGAGGCTTTCTCACCGGTAAGTGGGCTCTGCGCGACGGCGCCACGTGCCCTGCTTTCCCATTTGGCTCCCAACTACCTCCACACGAAAATGGCGGGCCGACAGGTGCGAGACGGAATACGGCTGCATCCGGCGAGTCCGCTCGCTCTTGCCACAGGATACTGCTGCCGCTTGAAAGAAGGCCTCTCCCGTTGCTGCAGGCAGAGGCGCTGGGACCGGCTTTCGTGGACTCGAACGCTGTCCTCTCGAGCGACCAGCCGTTGGCCTGCTTCAATCCTGACTGCGTGCAATCGTCGTCGAAGCGAAGGCTGTGCGAAGACGAACGGTCGGGGGACGAGACTCTCGGGCCGTGCCCGAAACGCCTCGCGCCTTCGCTGACCAGCACAGAGCTTTCCTCGATGATGGCTTGGCTGGCGGAAAGGGCGGGAGCGGGGCACAGACTGGAGGCCTCTGTGGTGGACGACAACCGGCCGAACGACCTCGCCGCGCCGGACACGGCGGAGATGGCACTCACAGCGTTCGCCATGCTCGAAACGGGACCCTGTCGGCTAAGATTGAGACGGAGGAGGCAAGGCGTGCGGCGCAAGCTCCTGAGGATCGAGGTAATCTGGAGCTACGGATGCATGGAGCAGCTGGAGCAATCCCTGCGTGGTTGCCCCTGTGCAAGCGCACGGCACAAGCACGAGAGGAGAGAGGCTCGACCCAGGAGCAGGAGAAACTCGAGGTCGAGGGGGGAGCAACTCTGGCTGGCTGGGACACGCTCCAGGCTTCCTCCACCTACGCTGCTCTGAGCCAAGCAAGCAGGGTGCGTCATCCCCAGGGCGAACAGCCAGTGCAAGCCCAACGGGGAGTGGATGGGGTAGTTGCCCCATGAGACGGGGCTGGGGGACGTTCGTGTGGGAATGGGATGCCTGCGATCAAAGAAACCAATGACCAGCTGCCACGAGGATTTTCCACTAGTCGCCTACCTTTCCTAGACCAATGAGAAGCCTTCGTTGCGAGCACACAGCGCATCAACACTCCATGTACTCCATAAAAGACGCTTCTGCTCTCGGATAGCAACCTCGCTAGTTTCACCAACCTCAATGTTGCCCAGTCCCGTAATGACTTTGGAAATACATTAAATGCACATTGATCGATGATTTCAAGTATGGTACTACGAAATGGGGGATTTTTTTTCATTATGTGTGATACATGTCTAATGCGTAGAAAAAATAATATACATTGCCTTATTTTATATATTATAAACATGTAGCATGGAAACTTCAAATGAATCAAAATTGAACTTTGAATTCTATATTCTAATCTTTCTGAGTTTATGTGATATTATTAAAGTGTTTTAGTTTTCCTGTTGTAATATAAGATCTTAAATATCAAAGATGTACGGGGATGTTGTGTCAGAGGTCCACTTGAGATCCCCGATGATCCTAGGGAAGGGTTACAGGCACGTCGGCCTGGGGGGTTATGGGCGCACTCACCCGCTATATTAACAAGCCCTTTTATCCCAGTGGTTAGTGACTGGGATTCTGACATGGTATCAGAGCGAAGGTCTCGGGTTCGATTCCCGGTGTGTGCACTTCGGGCATCCCAGTGCGGGGGGGTGTCAGAGGTCCACTAGAGATCCCCGATGATCCTAGGGAAGGGTTACAGGCACGTCGGCCTGGGGGGTTATGGGCGCACTCACCCGCTATATTAACAAGCCCTTTTATCCCAGTGGTTAGTGACTGGGATTCTGACATGTTGTCTTACAAAGTGTAAGGAATTTTCTCGGCATTCCTTACCAGGCCCCACGTTATCAGGGCAAAACATCCTGATTACCTTGAATTCAGGATGTAGATTTTAATTTACCCTGTCATTTCAGTATAGTGTAAATTTTAACCATGAGGTCTCAGGATGTTGTTATATGAAATGCCCTGAACATTCAGAATGGCTGTAGTGTCTTATAATCTTAGGGATGAAGTTGTGTGGAATTGGGGTTTGGAGGGGGATACAAAACAAGTGTCGAGAAAATATGTGTACCCCCTAAGGCTAGACCCAGTACTATAGCCTACATAAATGTTACACATATAATTTGACACACCCCCATAGGCGAAGTGGGGGATAGCCAGCACAAGGGGTCACAAGACCAGTCAAGCAAAGCAAACCAAAGCAAAGCTCAGGGTGGATCACAACATCACCACACATTCTGAGCAAAGGTTCAAGGCCTCAAGGCCGGTTCACATGCAGGATGATATATAGAGGTAAACAAACAAGAGCAGATATATATAAGACACAGTACAAGTAAGGTCAAGAAGTGAGCAAGTGAGGCCAAGTAGGCACAAGACCTAGCATAGTACAAAAGCGCTGATGATCGCAAGGCGGAAGAGCCTTGGTGAAGATATCAGCAGTGTTGGCCCGAGTGGCCACGTAAGCAAGGCGCAGCTGACCACGCTGCTGCAGCTCACGAGCAAGGAAGTAGCGAAGAGCGATGTGCTTCGTTCTGTGCTCCAGTCTGTGCTCCTCACACAAGGCAATGGCGGCCTTGTTGTCGACGTACAGCACTGGAGGAGAACGAGGCTGCTCTCCCAAGTCAGTCAGCAGGTAGGTGAGCCAGCGTAACTCCTGTGCAGCCATGGCTGTGGCGTAGATCTCAGCCTCACAACTGGAGCTGAGAACTGAAGACGAGCGTGTAGAACGCCACGAAACTGAACCAGAGCCAAGGCTGAAGGTGTAACCCTGTGACGACCGCTGAGTAGCCAGGTCGTCAACCCAAGAAGCGTCTGAGTGCCCAATGAGGACAACTGGGCTCGTCCCTCCAAGCACTAGCCCCATGCCTGATGTGCTGCACAAGTAGCGCAGTACCCTCTTAGCAGCAGCCATGTGCTCAGGTCGGTGCCGACCAGGAGCCACGTAGCGAGCCTGAAAACCAAGAGGGTACGCGAGGTCAGGTCGAGTGCAAGTCATCAGGTACATGAGGCAGCCGACTAGCTCTGGGTAAGGACCACTCGGCTCTACGGACTCGTCTGAAGGTGGAGCTGAGAGCGTGTGACCTGTAGCCAGAGGAGTGGCCTGTGCTGAAGACCAGGTGAAGCCGAAGCGCTGAAGGACCTGCTGCACCATGTGTGACTGAGTCAAGGTGATGGTGCGGCGAGCTCTGTCCCGGGTGATCTGCAAGCCAAGGTAGCTGCGCAGCTCACCCAAGTCTGTGCACGCGTGTCTCTTCTGCAGCTCCGACTTCACGTGGGCGAGAGCCTTAGTGTCAGCAGTGGCAAAAACCAAGTCGTCGACGTACACGAGGATGTAGAACGGCGGCAGTGAAGTGTCGGTGCGCAGAAACAGCGACGGGTCAGCAGTAGAAGGCGCGAACCCAAGAGCCGCAAGCGTAGTCCTCAGTGTGTCGTGCCACTCACGTGGCGCCTGGCGGAGACCGTAGACCGGCCGCCGGAGGCTCCATTGGGTGCCAGGAGGGAACGACCCAGTGAAGCCCGGGGGGCGGCGCAGCCAGATCTCCTCGTGCAGGCTGCCCTGCAAGAAAGCTGTGCTGAAGTCAAGAGAGTGAAGCTCGTAGACACGGTGAGCAGCAACATGCAGCAGCACCCGAAGAGTGGTCATCTTCGGGGTGGGGGAGAAGGTCTGGAAGAAGTCAACTCCCTCTCACTGACTGAAGCCTCGAGCCACGTAACGCGCCTTGAAGACAGGCGGAGAACCCGGCGGCCGCTTCACCCTGAAAATCCACATGCCACTGACGATGTTCGCCCCAGGTGGGGGAACCTCGTCAACGTAGGTGCCTGTGGACTTCCAGGAGGCCATCTCTGCGTCCATGGCTGCCTGCCACTGAGAGGATTAGGGACCCGCTATCGCCTCTGCGTAAGAGCGCGGAGTCGGGATGTCTGGTGCATCCGGGTCTCCCTCAGGGGCAAGTAGCGAGGACACAAGATGAGGTAAAGCAGCAGCAAGATACTGGAACTCCTCCTGCCTGTCCTCAAGGACGTCCATGCTAAGAGCACACTCATCCCCGACGGACGGAGGACAGACAGACTCAGACTCAGCAACAAGACTAGCGGCGTAGTCGAGACGACAGGCAGCAGCAAAGTCGACAAGCTCAACAACTAAGGCAGACGCAGCAGTAGACTCAAACGACGGGTCAGTGACAACAGTGGCTAACAGACGCGTGACAGTGGGGTGCTCAGCGCGAAACCGGTCAGACTCAGGGTCCGGAACGACAGGCAGAGAGGACGCAGGTGGGGAAGGCAGAGGAGCAGGCTGCGGAGCAGAGGAAGGACGACGGACGACAAGGTGTGCGCTGGGGACAGTCTGCTGACGCGCACGAGAGACACGACGACCGGTACGACCAGGACGAACAGGCGAGACAGGACGCGACGCAGGCGCACGACGCTCAGCAAGACTACCTGTCTGCTCAGTGTAAGGAGAAGGAGCAGGCAGCGGTGAGCCAGCCGGTAACGGAAGACCAGTGGACGACGGGAGAGTAAGAACCTGACGAAGAAGAGAGTCAGGCGGCGGCAGCGACGACGGAGACGGCGGAGCGAAGAACAGTCGTGTCGGCGCAGCTGTACCAGCTCCGGCAGATCCAGCAGCGCCAGCACCTCCAGCAGCGCCAGCGCCTCCAGCAGCTCCAGAAGCTCCAGCCTCAGAACCGGTACCTCCAGCGCCAGAAGCTTCAGAACCAGCGTCACCAGCAGCCGCACCCCCAGAACCGGCACCTGCAGTCCCAGGGTCTCCAACCGCAGTGTCTCCCGCAGCAGCACCCCCAGAACCAGCACCTCCAGTCCTAGGGTCTCCAACCGCAGTGTCTCCCGCAGCAGCACCCCCAGAACCAGCACCTCCAGTCCCAGGGTCTCCAGCCGCAGCGTCTCCCGCAGCAGCACCCCCAGAACCAGCACCTCCAGTCCCAGGGTCTCCAGCCGCAGCGTCTCCCGCAGCAGCACCCCCAGAACCAGCACCTCC